GTAAAGCATTTGGTAAAAATTGATTTTCATATGATTGAAATTCAATAAGACGTTCTAATATATCACGACTAGAAATAGAAATATTCAACACGATCAGATGTTAAGTTGGAAAATGATTCACTGATTTTATAATAATTGTTTCACTATGTGATGTTTTTTATCGCTTAAGCATGGTTTTTTAGACACACAAATGATAGATAAATATTTACAAAAATTTATTATATAAGACACGACTATTGTTTGACATTATAAAAATCAAACACTCAATATATTGGGAACAAAAACGAGTAGACTTCATATATCTATAAAGCTTTGCCTTCTCTATGTTTCATTTCTGTGAAATCATTTGCTTTTTATTTTTTGACGAACCTAATTCATTCTAAAATAAAACAGAGTCACATTTTACTTCTTGATATAGATTGAAAAACAACAGAAAAATGTCAATATGAAACTTTTATGACTATGCACAACACGAAGAGTAATACTATAAAAAAAAAATGAGATGTTCGCCATGTTTTACAATGTCTCGATACTAATGAGATTCACAAGAAAAAAACCAACGTCGATAACAAAATCTGACATTTGTCATTTATATAAATGAGAATTGTAGTTATAGAATTTTGTTTTTTTTTTCGTTCTAAATTCTTAAACCTACCGTGCTTGTAATAATTTACGTTTTTCAGTGGCTCTTAATTTTCTTGTATTATGAATAAATTTACTTATTTCTTCGCATGTATCATCAAGTAATTCATGTTCAATGAAATATTGCAGACCCTAAACATGATAATAAAAATGAATACGCACGAAATCTTTTTTTTAATTACTTGTCCAGCATTAAATCGTAATGTTCCTTCATCTAGTTGTAAATAAATTTTACGAAATGAAATACCATCATTATGTGCTCGATTATAAATTGATGCATAAGTCCAATTTGATTTGCATAATCTTTCAAAATAAAAAAAAAAAAATATTCCTTTTTTTGAAATCAATAAAATTATTTTATCTACCCAAGCCAAAGAATTTCATCATTAGCTAATGTTTGCCAAACACATGCCGCAAGACATAGATCAGTAGCATTTAAATTTTTAAGAATTTCTAATGCTAATTCAGGTGGTAATTGAGATATGTCAGAAATTTTTGTAACTAAAAATGATAAGAAAATTTAAAAAAAACAAAAAACTATTTTTTTTTTTCTTAGAATAAAATTAATACTTTGATTTTTTTTATTACTTGTCGGCCCGGCAACTTGTCGATCGAAAATTTGACCCATCGGCAATGATTAAAATCAACTTTTAATCGAACGAATATGAAGCCGAGCCGACTTGCGACAATGACGTGTACAAAAGATGTCGACGTGGAAAGGTAAGCAATATGTATGTCAGATTAGATTATGTAGTTTTCTTTTTTTTTTCTTTATTTGTTTAGGAAGAATGAGAAGAAAGAAAGCAAAAAATTGTAGTATACTAAACAATTTTTTTGCTTTCTAACATTAATGATTGGTTGAATAGATCATAAATGAAAATAAATAGTATGAACATAATTATAATAAAATATAAAATGAATTAAAATTTATTTATATTTTCAATAAATTTTTATTTAATAATATTATTGAAATAAATAAATAATTTACAAGTTAATCATATCGTTGCTAAGAAACCTGTTTGTAAGATAATTATTAATGGCATTTACTTTTAGCAACGTTATATAGAAACAAATTTTTAGAGATTTTATTTATATTCGAAACTATATTCCTAGGTAATATGTGTTTTTTTTTTCAAGGTTACGGTTAGTAATGGAGAAATTATATGGAAACGATTGTCCTGCATTTAATATGAGACAATTCTATTTCAGTTTGTTTAATATAAAAAATTTATCCAGTATACAAATTTCTTTCAATAATAAAACCTTTTTTTTTTTTATTAATATCTATTTTCAATTTTATTTATATAATTTATCATCTTATAAACACATTAAATGTCTTGTTTTTTCTTTAGCCTTTTCTTATTAGAAACCTTCGATATATTCAATTAGAATATTTATAAGTTCACATGTAATTGAGAAACTCATTACCTTTCGAGCACTAATAAAGTACAATTGATGTTTAGTTGACCACGGAAATAGCTCATGCAAGTGCTTATTAAGACAGTATGTATACTCTTCGCCGAAAAACGCAACATCGAAAGTATTTTTTGGCCACGAAATGCACTGCAAAGGTGAGGGTGACGGTAAAATGAATTGATCCTGTCATGCTTAACAAGTCTATGCAGGAATTAAAGAGCTCGCAACGATCTACAGCATTTCCGGGCCTTTCGATGAAATGCTTTTCGGCGAAGAGGCATACAACCAAATAAAGTACCTACCAAGATTAAAGGATAAAGCAAATTCTTAATAACAAAAAAATTTTTTTTTTTTCAAGTTTAATTATTATCAGATGAATGTCATCATTAAATAAACAAATAATTAATCTTGAAATCTTTATTTAGATTATTGTAATAATTAAGAACAATGTCAATCATTCCACCATCTGGTTCACTTGTTCGTTTTGATAATCCAACATTGATAACAGCACAAAATGAAAAAGATCGTAAAGCACTTGGTGCTAGTAAACAACAAACAGCATTAGATCAACAAATGATGGATATTACTGGTGGTGGTACTGGTTCACCACAATTAGGTAGAAAACAACAGGCTATGAAAGATTTATCATTAGAAGAAATTCTTGATAAAATTCTTCCACCAAAGTATATTTTTATATATTTTTTTTTCTGACAAAAATTTAAAATTTAAAATAGAATAACAAAAGATCCAAATAATTCGGATTTACTCTATTGTCAACGTATATCATCAACACCAGCAACACGTCTTGATGTTATTAATTTACAAGAACAATTAGATATGCGTTTACAACAACGACAAGCTCGTGAAACTGGTATATGTCCAGTACGACGTGAACTGTTTTCACAATGTTTCGGTAAGAAAAACAAAAAAACAAGTTTTTTTTTTGTTTTTTTCAATTCATTTTAAATAGATGAACTTATTCGTCAAGTTGCTATTAATTGTGCTGAACGTGGTTTACTTCTTCTTCGTGTACGTGATGAATTACAAATGACATTACGTGCATATCAAACACTTTATGAAAGTAGTGTAGCATTTGGTATGCGTAAAGCATTAATGGCTGAACAAGGAAAATCTGAATTAGAACGAAAAGTTTGTATATTAAATAGATTTTTATTTATAAATATTTCTGTTATTTCTTTTTAGTTAGTACAACTTGAAGAAGATAAACGTGATCTTGAACGACAACTTAAAGAAACAAAAGCAAATGCAGAAGCAGCTGAAAAAAAATTAAATGAACAACGACAAGTTGAAGAAAAAAAACATATGGAAGAAATAAATTTTTTGAAAAAAACAAATCAACAACTCAAAGTTAGATTTGATAAAAAATATTGACATTATTTTGTCTTTTATTTTTAGGCTCAATTGGAAGGTTTAATTGCACCAAAAAAATAAATATAATGATTTATTTTATTTTACTGTATACATTTATTATCAATGAGACCATCAATTCTGTGCGTTTCTTTCTAATATAATTTGTCTCTCTTTTTTTTTTTCATTAATAAAATAAATCCTAAATAAGTTTTATCAAAAAACGAAACAGAACAAATTTTATTATCTTTTGATCGCTAAGGTAAAGCATTATCGAAAAATAATTTAATATTCACCAAACTCAATATGCTTAGTAAAACAGAGTCAAGTTTCGATTTCCTAGTACTTCAATTGATCAGATAGCTTAAATATGAAAACATAGAAAGATATTTTTCTTTAAAAATCAATATTCTTGTACAATAGAGAATCTCGAACATTTGAATAGCCGACAAGATGATTTATTGTAATTTGAAAATCTAACAAGTTTCGTAACAGTACTCGGATGAGGAATATTTGAAAAAAATCAAGATAAGTTTTCTGATGTCTATGTAAAGCTTTTTAGAAATAACTTGAGTTGATAGAGCAAAATTAGATATTCTCGGCTCTCTTCATGATGTTTCTTCAACGAACTGCATTTCATTTATTGAAGGCTTCAAACAGGACGAGAGAGCATTGAATTTTTTTAAAAAAAAAAACAAAAGAAAAATTCTTCTTGAATCTTCTCTCGATTGAATACAGTTCAATGAAGAACGATCATAAAGAGAAATGAGTCATCTAATTTAGTTCTATCATTAAATGAAATCATTATTAAAAACCTTCGAATGTATGTCAGCAAAACTTGTCTTGGTTTTCTAGATATCCAGTTTTATTAGATTTTTAGGTCTGTAAGTTCTAATAAAGAATTCTTTCATCTATTAAAAAATATAACTAATCTAAACTTTTGTCCTTCACGACATAATCAGAAGCAAATAATATCGTATAATGATAAAGTGACAAAAACTTTCTTTAAGAGATACTTTGGTTTTTAGTTTTTTCTTAGATTCGCTCTGAAACAATTTGATGGGATTAGAAGTTAGTACTATGATCTAATATGAGTTTGCCAAGACTTTTTCATGACATGTTAATCAATCCTACGATAATCGAAATACAAGATTTCATTTTTCTGTACATGTAAAAAATGATATTGAAATAAATTTCAATGAACTCAATAATATAAACATTAATTTGTATATTTCAACAACTGATAGCAAAAATTTAATATCTCATATCGATCAACCAACTTAATTTAAGTTCGTATCATAGTTGATTTTTAATTTAAAATAGTAATTGATTGTACTATGATTTAATTTAATTAAACTTCTACAAATATTTATCACGAATTTAAAAGAATAAATTTTTTTTTTATGAATTCCATCTATTAGCGCCCTCTTCTATTCTAAGAATGTAATCGTTAGTAACTTGTAGTGAAATAAATCCATTCAAATTTTTATTTTTATTTTTTGTTCTTTGATTGTTTTCTTATACTTTTATACAAGGTCATACTTCCTCATTTAATCATTTCATCAAAAAAAAATATGAGTAGTGGAAAAAGACAACAAAGTATATATATATATAGAAAAATTTTGTCTTTATATGAATGTTTTTTGTTTTTTTCTAATATCTAGAAAAGCGACAACGTCAATCATCACCACCTCCACCATCTTCATTTAAAGCTCATTTAGCTCAACGATTACAACGAATACGTAGTGGACAACGAGATTTATGGGCAGATGATGATGATAATAATAATAATAATACTCATCATCGTCATAAACAATCAAAAACAACAAATAATAAAAAAACATATATTGTTTTATCGGATTCTGATGATGAACGATTATCATTACCATTACAACGACGATTACGAAGTAGTAAATCAGGAAAAAAATTATCACGAAATCATGATGAAAATGTTAATAAGAATACTACATGTTTAATATGTTCAATATTATCTCAATTATCATCATATAATTGTTGTTCAGAACATTTATCTATTCTTAAAAATCATTCCGATCATCATCAACAACAACAAACAACAAATTCTCAATGGTTACCAGACAAAGTTATGATTGTACCTGTAACAGATGAAATTGTTCAACGTTATCTTGATCCACAACAAATACATAATTTACGAACACAAACATCAATAACAAATAAGAAAAATTCAACATCAGTAAATCAAACAGAAAATTTTTTTTTAAATTATATTTTATTTATAGACTTCAAAATCTCTGAATAAATCAACAATGACATTAGATCTTTCTCCTATAGAACAATCAGGAAGAAACATTCCAAAATCATCAATACAGTAAGTTAAAATTTTTTTTTAAGTAAAAACAGTGCTTTCTTATTTAATCTTTCTTCAACTATAAGTATAATAAAAAAAAAAAAAATTTTCGATAAAAACTAGTTGTTATGATAGATAACGTGTTACATTTTATATGTATTCTTATCAGCTCTTTCAATGCCGTTTTGTTTTATAAGTATTAAAGTATTCAAAACTTACTAACGATAAAACAAAAGAGATATAGTTTTCTGTTTAAGTAATTCTTCGAATTTGGTGCCAAATGATTTTTTTCTTTTTCGATTATTTGATTTAAGACAAACAATATATCGAAAGCTATTCTAAATAATTGTATCATTCTTTGAATAAATAAAAAAATAAAGATAGTTATAATACAAAAGTAATACCAGTGATTTTATATATTCTAATTTATTTTAGAGTGTTAAACACTAGAAGAATGATTTTTGATATTTTGTTTTGTATTCTTCATTGTTGAGATATTTGAATTTTTCAAATAGTTTTCAGAAAACTGAAAAGAGAGGTCCAAATAGGCCACGTTTTTAGGCCTGTACGGGCTGTCAAGTTTTTCTAGCGAGTGCAATAATGATGACAGACTAGAAACCAGAGGTCCAAGGGCTATTGCTCAACCTAATCCTGACCCGCCTGTCATAGGCATCACCCATAGTTTTCACACTAGTGCAAGTGACAGGCCAAAAATTGCTTGGACCTCTGACTTGCACTAGTCTGAAAACTATAGGTGATGCCTATGATAAGCAGGTCAGGATCAGGTTGAGCAATAGCCCTTGGACCTCTGGTTTCTAGTCTGTCATCATTATTGCACTCGCTCGAAAAACTTGACAGGCCTAAAAAAACGTGGCCTGTTTGGACCTCTGATGGTAAATGTTTTTTTGTTGACTATTAAAAATTGTGAAGACTATAAATCTTTTTGAGAAAGAATTTAAAGATAATTAGATTTTTTTTCAAAGTACCATTATAAAATAAAATGCTTGATATTCTATGTAAAAATTAAGATGAATTTTCAAGAAAATTCTTTGAATACTTTTCATAGCTCACTGAAACATATTTATAGGTAAAATATCAGTTTAAAAGAAGACTAACATTTAGAAATATTCCTTCGTGAATACAATCTGAATAAAAAAAAAAATTCAATATTTAAATCTATAAATACGAACAATTTATATCTGAATTCTAATTTAAATTATTACTAAGAAAATTTTTTGTATTTTTGTATTATAGATCTACTCAAATGGATATTGAACCACTTGCTTCAACTATTGTGATAGAATCAGTATGTTCAAAGTTAACAACAATTCAACCTAATTTAATAACTACAACTGTTACAACAACGAATAATATTGAAAATTCAACTAATATTGATAATGAACTATTAGAAAAATCACCTATTGAAATGATTATTATTGATGATACTCCAACAGATAATCAAGAAGAACATACAACAAAAATAAAATCTACGAATAATAATAAACAAATGAATCCATGGTCTCCAATTAGTGATGAAGTTGATGCTGCTCTTGAACATGTTCTTAATCAAATTTCTTCATCTAATGATATTCCACTTGAATTTACACCAACAACAGCTCGACGAACAGATACAGAAATAATGGCTGCTCTTTTACCAAAAATACCATTAAAACAAGGACGATTTCGTTCCGGTAAACCAATCATAAATCGTTCAATATCGAATGCAGCTAATGAATATCGACCATTATTAAATGCTCAATCATCTCCGTTACCATCATCCGTTATTAATAAAGAGTAATTCATATCGCAGATGTTTATTTTGTTTTTAAATATTACATTTCTATATATTTATTAATAGTCAACCACTACCTATGACAACTAATATTGAGAAAAAACCATCATCATCAATATCATGTCAAACTTCAAATGATTCCGAAAATTTAAATGATAATCGTAATAATATTCCTACTAGTTGTATATTAACACAAGATGAAATAAATCAAAATGATAATATGTCAATAACGACAACAACAATCATACAAACTAATGAAGGTATATAATATGTTTATTATATATATATTATTGTTTTTTTTTTGTTAGATCTTCATACAATATCGATTATTAATGAAAATCCTAATACAGAATTTGAACAAGATCGAACAAATGGAGAACAAAATGTTAGTTCATCAACTACTAATGAAAGAACACCAGCAAGAATAACCTATCGTATGAATCCTGATGGAACACGAGTTAGTATATCACGACCACCATTACCAACAAATCGTCAATCATCATGTTTTAGTTCTTTACGTCGAGTAAGATTCTTCATTTAAGTTTTGTTTATTTTTGTAATAATAAACATTATTTTTTTTAGAACTCAACAGATGTAACTCCTATTCAAACAAATACAAAACAAATATAAAACATTTAAGTTTCGAGTTTTTTTTTTTTGTACAGCTTCTATTATATTCTTAGTTACGCTATATATACAAGATAGATCAATAAATATTGTATTCAGGTTAACAAATAGCATTTTTTAGTTTCTTCATGAAAAAAAAATAAATGTTATTGTGTGATAAAGACGATTAATCGTATAAGTAGAATTAATTTCATCTTTGATATTATATTCAATAATTTTTAAATGAAAAAAAAAAAAGATAACAATATATAGAATAGAAGTGATATAATGAAGTTGTTTTGATATATGATGAGTTATATTTTTTTGTTAATTTTTTAAAAAATCTTTTCGATAACCAATTTGATCCCAAAAATCACAATCATCTTTTAAATAATTTTCTTTTACTTGTAATGGATCTTGAAAATACATATATTTTTCATTACTATTATTTCCTATTGGCCATAATATTGGTACATTTAATGGTTCATTTGGATTTTGAGTTTTTGCAAAATTTGTCCAATATGTTGCTATACTTTGTGATATACGTCGACCAATATCAGTAATATTTATCCAATTTGATTCAAATAAATATGGTAATTCATCACCATGACATACATGTCCATAGCAAATGTCTTCATTTTTTTTCGTATTAGAATTTAATGGATAACCAAATACATAAGTATATAAAGCAGCTTTACGAGCAAATATACGTGTTGGACAAGAAAAAACCCATTGTGTAGCTATTTGAGATAAAAGTCGTCTTTGATCTCCTTCACCTACAGGTGGATAACGTTCAAGAACTTTTAAAGCTTTACTTCGAAAAAATCCAAAAACTATTTCAACATAATTCATAGGTAATATAGGTTTATTCCATTCTTTATAAATAAAAATTAAACCTTCATCATTAACTGTACCCGTTATAAGAGGTTTTATAGGAAATGATAAATTTTGTATAGTTTCATATAATTGACCATGAACAGTAATATTATCAATCACAGGTACCCATGGTTCAAAAAATAGTAATACTTCTAATGAAGTTATCTTTCCATTCACTATCTCTTGTGCAATAGTAATATTTTCAACAGTTGCTGCACGAAAACAAGCTATATCATGAAAAGAACAATGAAGTTGTTCAGCTAGTAGAACACCCGGTGTTATATATTCTGCATAAGTCCTATATAAAGGATATATAAATACAAAAAGGAAAAAAAATAATAATTTCTCTTATTCTTATACCTAAATGGTATAGCCATAGGTGCACTTTGAATGATAACTCGTTGAAAAAATGATTGCATATCATGTGCTACATAATGTAATGCTGCAGATTGTGCACCAGCACTTTGACCAAATAAAGTAATCTAAATAAGAACATATTTATTACAAAATAATATCATACTATTCATGAAACCTCATTTGGATCTCCTCCAAATGCATTTATATTTGCTTTGATCCATGCAATAGCTAAACGTTGATCAAGTATACCATAATTACCTTTGATATCATTTGGACCAGTTCCAGTTGCAAAAAATCCAAGAACACCTTTATTAATATATATATATACATTGTATAGAAAATAATTATATATATATGTGTTTTTCTGTTTTCGACTTACCAAGTCTATATTGTATGAATGCAACAATAACATTCGTAGTATTGACTAAACGTTCAGCTTTATAAATTGGAAGAGAAGCATCAAAATGTTGAAATTCACCACCTGGAATGAAGATCATAACAGGTAAAAGTGTTGTAGATTGTGATGCTTGTGTTGTTAATGGAGTAAAAATATTCAAATAAAGACAATCTTCAGAAAACTATATATTAATGGAAGAAAAACAAGAAACAGGTAAAAGTCAAAAGTTTTTTGCTCAGTAAAAAACTACTACATGTGGAGGACATAAAGGAGACGATGGATTACATGGTGGTTGAGGACAAGCAGGTGCTCGTGAGGTAGCATTAATTACTTTTGGAGACCATTTTGTAATAGGTACTGGTGGATTCCATCTAAATATATATTCAATGTAATAATGTCAAGAATTTAACATTTATACTTACCTTAATTCATTAATAGGTGCCTGAGCAAATGGAATACCATAGAAAATACGAGCTAAATCTGTTTGATAACCAAGTATATCACCATATTTTGTATGAACAATAGTAGATTCATTAGCATATCCATTTTGTATAAAATAAGTAAGAAAAACCAACAGTATCATATAGACGATCATTCGTTAAGTGAATCAATGTCAATGTTATGCGTGTATGTGTATTTGTGAAGAAAATGTGTGTCTACTGTTTATTTGTTTCGTTACTGATAAGGAAAAAGAGAAATAGTCTACAGAAGATACAAAAATATTATGCTGACTTTAGGATCTTACAAAAACTCTTTTATAAGAACAAAAATAATTTTATATTTAGATAATGTGAAAAGTATCTATGATAGTCCAAGAATTACCCTTTGAAGATGCAATTTGTCTTCATCACAACACAATATCGAGGTTGTTGAGAAAAAGAAACGTGTTTAGTGACATGATTTTGATGATAATCATGAAAAAAAAAACAAAAGAAAAGTCAAACTATCTGAATGTTGACAAACTCTGCTCATGAACAATACTAAAAATTAAACAGAACTCGTCAAGAAAGTGTATGAACAGACAATGCTCTCTGCGCGTTGACGAAGATACCTTATGACTAGAGGTGTTAGCCGCCGCCGCCGATCGAATGAAAGATCACAGTTCAAGCTTCCTCTTTTTCTAAATTATCACTTGTTGATAATAATCAGTAATATCTCAAGTTTGATCTATGTGACAATTAGAGATTGCCGAAACCAACAGAACTTTTAAAAAATAGGAATTAGTACATTTTTTCTTGGATGACATATGGTCTGAAAATCGGGCTGATGAGCAAATATGTCTCCTTGTGATTTTGTGACGCTACCATATTTATTAGGTTTTCATTTGCCTTATTTCTTCATGCACAATAGATTCATCGCTATTATTTTCTCCGTTTCGCGATTCTCGGCTTATTCAGTATGCAGTTTCGACTAACTGTCTAGTTTGAGTGCGAATATAAATGTAACTAACATTGCGATTCGAATTCGAATTCCAATCGACACTCTTCTGCCAGTTTAGAAAAATATTTAGTTTCAATTTGAATTCAAATAATCAATGAAAACAAATCTTGCTCTTTTTCTCCACTCACAGAAAAGTATCGATTTGAATTTGGATTCAAATTCTAATTTCAATGTTAGTTTCACTTATGATCTAATTCGAGCTACCATAGAGATGGCACATTATCTTTATTTTACTTTGAAAAAGTAAAGTAAAGTAAAGTAAAATACTATAGTTTGAATGTGGATAAGAAAGTGAGATAAAGTTAACCAAACAATATTTTTCATGTATTCATAAAAAATCGACATTTTTCGGCTTTACTTATTTTTTTTCACGCTAATTTTAAGACGAAACGATATTGAATAAACTTTGATACGTTCTAAGATTATTTCTACACGATCCTAAACTAAGAAATTGCCAAAAAATTTAAAACATACAGCTTCATTTTTTTTCACTTTACTTTACTTTACTTTTTGGGTAACGTATTTAACTTTACTTTAACGGGTAAAGTAAAGATAAAGTGCCAGCCATAAGCTATCATGTTTGAATTTAATTTGTATTTTAGATGGATAGTCACATTATTGCCATTTCGGCTTATATCATGAGTTCTTGTTGTGTGGTTTGAAGTTATTTTATGATGGGACAATGTGAATTTTTTGAATTAATGAAAATAAAGTTACATCTAATGGAAAAATTTTTCCATAAAAAGACATGAGTGGTGCTAAGAGGAAAACAGCGGTATAATTCTGTGAGAACATAACGTCTAATGTTTGTCTTAACGGTAGAGATCTACGAAAGATCCTGTGAAATAACATAGGAAAATTTTTTCATCGCCGCCGCCGCCGAAAATGACCTCCTCGGCGAGAGCTCCTCGCCGCCGCCGCCGATCAAATGATCGGCTAACACCTCTACTTATGACAGAATAGAAACCAAGGACGCTATGACCTTCGAGATATTCCATTTGGAAGTTCGATAAAATCATGCTGCTGACTCATTTGTCGTCATGAGTACAAATAAAAAAAAGAACAGCGTTTTTGTTTCTTACTTGTGCTAATTAACTGGATAAATTTATTATTTAATGCAATAAATAAAAGCAATCAAATATGTATATTTGTAAAGAAAAATCACCAGTCATTACTTTATGAGATCCACAATGTTTATCAAACCAAGCTCAGTTACTAACGTCGTGCGTCATCAAATTTAGGGCTTAAATACAGGCTAATGATCATTAGAACTAATCAAGGAAAAGAAGAGACAAAGATTGTATCTACCATGAGAGAGAATCAGTGAATTTGGTTTCAAGAATTTTCGCATTGTTATAAAAACAAAAGAATATCAGTTATGAGTTTGACAATAAATTATATCATGTTTTTCTCAAGATGGATTTGTTTGTCTTGAACAATGAATCCTTGTCAAACACATCACTGTAAATTTTTTTCGATTTTTAAAAATAAAAGCTTTTTTCAATTTAAAATTTGTTTCATTAAATTTGAAGAAGAAATCTTTATCCGACGGCGAGCGCACCTACTTTTTAATCTGGATAAAAAAAATGATCTGATGCTTATTAAAACATCGCTTTTTGAAGAATGTTGACTGATTGAAAATAATCAAAAATCAAACTATTTGTTTCTATCGAATTCAAACAAAAAATTTTTAACACAGTAAATTTTCATTTTATTTATCAATATTTTAAAAAATTTAACAGAAAATTTCATGTTATTTAAGTAAAATACAATAAATTTTGCATCCAAATACTGAAATAAATTATTAACAATAAAGTATTATTTTTTAAATTTCTATTCATTTTTGAAGCTATCTCATCAATTGAATGTTGATTACAGCCATCCTTCAAACATGTATGCATACAAAAAAAACTTATTGTTTCATGTAGATCACTTTTTGACATTGGTGGATCACATTCTTGTAATACATCTTCAATTCTTGTACAACCACGATTAATAAACACTTCTAAATAAGATAGAAAGCAATTATAGATTGAAGAAATACAAGTGCGTAATAATGATCTAAATAATAGATGACTCATTCTTTTTCTTACTGTTAGTTATAAAAAGTGCAACGATTGGGTAATGACATTTTACAAATGCAAATATAGAATGAAATAGTAGTATATAAATATAATTTAAAAGTGTTCTTTTACTACATTCAATAATGGCTTCAATGCAATCAACAAATCATATTATAATGGTTCGACCAGCTTGTTTTTGTTTTAATACAGAAACAGCTATTTCAAATGCATTTCAAAATGATCAATATGCTGATTCTTCATCAGCAGATAAAATTCAACAACAAGCATTAAAAGAATTTGATCATATGGTTGATAAACTTCGTTCATATGGTGTTCATGTCGATGTATTTGATGATACATTATCACCAATAAAACCTGATGCTATTTTTCCAAATAATTGGTTTACAACACATTCCGATGGAACAATTATTCTCTATCCAATGCTTGCAGAAAATCGTCGTCTTGAACGTCGACATGATCTTATTAAAAAATTATCTCAAACATATCATGTTACAGCTATTATTGATTTAAGTGTATATGAACAACGAAATCAATATCTTGAAGGTACTGGTTCATTATTACTTGATCGTATAAATAAAATTGTTTATGCTGTACGATCACCACGTACACATGAAACAATTATTCAACATTTTACTAAATTAATGAATTATCAACAACCTCCTATTATATTTGATAGTTTTGATGATAAAAAAAAACCAATTTATCATACAAATGTTATGATGGCTATTGGTACACATGTTGCTATTATATGTTTGGAATCAATTATTGATCAAGAACAAAGAAATACTATTGTAAAATCACTTGAACAAAATGGAAAACGAAAAATTATTAATATTACACTTGAACAAATGAAAAATTTTGCTGGTAATATGCTTGAAATACAAAATAAACAAGGTCAATATTTATTAGTTATGTCAAAAACAGCTTATGATTCATTAAATGATGAACAACGAAATTTGATTGAAAAAACAAATACTCAATTAGTTTATTTTGATGTATCAACTATTGAACAATGTGGTGGTGGAAGTGTTCGATGTATGATTGCAGAAAACTTTCTTACTCAAAATAATTGACATATATTATGTAATTCATTTTTTTAAAATATTGACACATGAATCTATATAATTTTTCTTACCTCCGTTCTTTCTACGTTCTATTCTATAAAGAGAAGACATACAAGCTTTGAAAGTTGTGTTCGATTTATTTGCTGGTAGTATACAAGGTAGAGGAGGTAAAGTACCATCTAAACAAGAATAATTCAAATTTTGTGAGATACGTCGAATAGGACTAGTACATTGAATACATGATAATTCAAAGCCTGCAAAAAGATAAAAATTGATAGAAATACTTCTTCCTATTCATGCCCAAAATACTAACTAGCTTGAATAAACCATCCAATAAAGACAAGAATGGATTCGTTAATTTTTAAATACATTTTTATATAAGTAGAAATGAATATTAAGTCAACTGAATATTATAAATTAATCCGTTATATTAAAAAAAAAAAAGGAAAACGAATAGAAAGCAAAAGGATGTTGAAAACAAGTCTCTTGTATGATTATTTTGCATTGTGATTCTTGGTATTAAATTACTCAGAAATAAAAGAAAAAGAACCGACAATATTTCAAACAAGAAAAACAAAAAAGAAATCCCAAGTAAATACCTTAAACAATTGTTTCTTTTTTCTTTTTATATCTTTCTCAACAATTCTAATCAATAAAAAACAATTATTATTGATCCATTGTGATAAATACCTTTATCAACCTGAAAATCAATTGTAAAATCATGTAGATCCTATTACATTCTCCTTAAAAATAAAAACATATTTTTATTCTTGTTCGAGACATATGCAATCAAAAACAAAACTATCAATGATAGATTTTATCGAATATATATATTGAAATATAAAACAAATAATCTTCTTCAGTTTTATATATCGAAAAATAAAAAAAGTCTTAATATTTTATTAAGATGCCTTTTTTTAATTCATTGAAGAATTAGAAAATATTCTTATTGTGAAACTTTCTGAAACTGTTTCTACTTCATTTTGATTGAAGTAAATACGGATATATAAAAAAGACAATCAATTATCCTTTAAAGTCATAAGCGCGCTTCCTATTGAGAAAACTATAATCATGAATAAGTCATTGTTATTTTTTTAGGCTTCGAAATAGAGTATGATATTGAAATCATAGCTACTCATTATAATACAAATGGCTTATTAAAATCTTGTACATCAAATTGTAATATTTGCTGTTGTTATGACGTGACACAAAATATTGATTTATATGTTCGTAAAAGACTTGTATTACCGAATGATTGACCAAGCAATGTCCTTAATGAGAAAATGTTATTTGCTAATCTAAAGCCACATTTTTGTTTTCTACCTGAAATTAGACATGGGTATTTGTTTTGCTTCTAGAAGATTCCAGAAACTTCGTTGTACTTTAGATCTTAAGATACGTTTTTCAATATTCTAAATAACATAGTTTCTGTTTTTTTGCACAAACAACAAATTTACATTCAAGATGTCAACGAACATGAATAGTGATACATTGATAGGACATATTTATCATATGATCGTTATAAAAATCATTCACTAATGAAATTATAGCTTTGGAAAATAATCTATATCAGTGTTTTTAAGCTGATTGAAGTATATAATAGTGTGTTGAGGTCTGTTGCTGAATGTAGAAATAAAAAAAGACAATGCGTTTGCTGAAAAATAAAGGCGATACGTGAGTTCCGCATTTCAAACTGAAAAGAAGCTGCGCTAACAAGTTTTTATCGTATGATTGTAATGTGAAAGTATTGGAAAAACAAGATTATCATCATCTATTGGTTGTTGGATTACACCAGAGCAACGTATTGTTAGTAGTCTTCGTTTTAAAAAATGCTACATTAGTACGTCCCTATCGATCTGATGATCAACATTGATTGATTTTATAACATAGACTATTTATTTGTCGAAATTCTCGAATATTTTCATACATCAATGGACTAATGATTATCAATAGACAATGTCTAATCTATGAAGAAACAACGGAGAATTATTTTCTGAAAAAAGAAGAAATATTTTGTGATCATGAAGTTGCTCAAGTGTTATTTGAAAAATTATTAAAACTTATTCAATATATAACGGGTGCCCTAGAAGTTCTCGCATTAAACAACAGCTAACTTTTTGAAATTTTGGCGGATAACTGTGCCTAATTTATACTGAATAATGGCGAATTTTGAAGCCAATAACATTTATTGTGTATGAGAATCTGTAACAGCACTATCATGCAATATTTTAACAATTTCTCAATAACTTAAGATGATAAAATGTGATACAAAAATTGTGCAATAATTGTTGATTTCAAGATCTCTATGACAAATACGCACCGAAACCAAAAATGTTTTCTTTGCGAGCGTATATTCATTTTCTACATGCGTCGATGGAAAAGGATCATTAAATTTTACTTCTTGGATATTTTAAATCTTCACAATGTGGGTGCGAAGGAAAGAAGAACATCACCTACATCCACACCAAAGCCACAGTCACACTTACACCCACATCCATCTACCAAAATAACATGACCCAACTGGTAAAACAAGAGCTCTGAGAACAGCTCGAATTATGAATCCAACGACAAAATGAACCACACAATTGGATTGATAAGAGCAAATTTTTCTAAATAAAATGTTTTTATTAAGAAATAGAATCATTACCCATTACGATAATTCAAGATTTCTTTTCCCTTTCAACCACTTTCTGTAATGTATCAAACAAAAGACGTCATTGCTAGCTTTTGATTGATTTTAATAATCATCCTACTAACACATCTACACTCACGGTATGATGGGAAAATGTCTAAAGTAGAGGTGCCACAATACATGTGAATGAGGTCATCAAAATTTGAGTGATGTGGAAAGTAGCGCTTCTACTTTCGATATTTTTCCATCCATTCACATCCACACCCTTGAGTGTGAATCTCGATAGGATCCTGTATTCATAAGTAAGAAAACAACCTGGACAGGACCCTGAACAAATTCTGAATAACATTCTGTCTCACCTTGAATAATTCTGGCGAGAAATTGACAAGACCCTTGGACACTAGACTCCTAACAAATTCTTCCAAGATTTCTCAAGGAACGAACAGGATTGAGACAAGGAATGTATTTTTTGAGCCAAGTGAAACGAGTGAATCAATGGTTTATTGAGAAAAAAAAGAATTTTATATCGAAAGAAAAGAAAGAAAAAGCAATCAGATTTTTTTTTCTTTCTTCTAAGACGAATATACAAAAGATGTCCTCAAGTTAACAGAAAAAGAGAAAACGAGCATGAAATATCTCCTCGAATCAACTGCAAAGAGAAAACGAATATGATACATGTCCTCAAGTTAAAAGAACAGAAAATAAGTCAATGTATTGACAAAAGACGCATTTGAAGAAGAACACAGAAAAGAAAAGAAACAAAGAAGAAGAAAAGACGACCTCAAGTAGATATGTATGTATACGATTGGGGGATATCTAAAACGCTGTGGGCCATGAATTCGGTTACAGCACATGTATTTGTGATGCTAGCAAAAGAGAAGATAGCGTGGTCCAGCATCCAAATAATACTTGATATGCTGTCCATTCGGTCATTACTAGACCAGTGAAGCTATTTTGCTGAGCATTTACAATTGACTGTCGTCCAGTATTTATCAGATTTGCCAAATAATTATCACTAGTAATTAAAATTACCGTGCCATAATTAGCTGTATCTAGCGTTCCATCATAATTTACAATTCCATCAGGAATACAATTGACTGTTAAACCAGTCAGTTGTATATTATTGACCAATGCTTGAATGACTACAGTACTTGAGTCATTCAGTAAAAGTACTGTTTGTTGTCGCTCACTACAACCTACAAAACATAGCAAAACCTGAATTAATCAGCAACGGATTTTATAGAAAGAAAATTCACAATAATCGAAACTTATTCAAACCTTACTTATAAAGGATAAATGATTAAACTCATTATAAATGCGTATGGGCTCGAATTATTTCGATTCACTTGAAATGAATTCGAACGGTTTTGACTCATTTAGCAAAAACAAAAAGTCTACAGAAATTCATCTTTGTCTAATTTTTGGTATCTTTTTGTTTCCTGTGATTTGAAATGTGGACTCGCATTGAGATTGTCTAATCGTTTAACTGAATTCTGATTTTAGACGAAACTTGACGGTTTATGTCAAGATTCGTTAGAAAGAGATGGTGTGCTGGGAAGCTTACTGAATGATCAAGTCAATGTGTAAAGTAGGCTAATCCAGCAGTTAAATTGACGAAACATCAAGTAGAATTATATTTGCTGGTTCATATTGCAAGAAGCTTCAGCGGATGAATATTAACCATAAAATTTGTTATAGTTCTGATAGATTCATTTATTTGATATTTTTTTAAAATAAATTATTTTATCCTTTCTGACAATACACTATCAATTTATAGCAGGCAGAGTTTGTGAGTTCTACACTTGGGCCCTGTATGGAACTGCACTGATAAGTTTTTAGCACTATCGCTACATGCTGGAGTCATGAAAGCAAAACTTATGTTTCATTTTTATGCACAACAAAGTACTTACCAACACATAGGCCGTTTGAACAAACAAGACTTGTGCAATCCAATGAATTCTTACACAGCTGACCGTCATCACATGTGTAACCTTGTTCCGCGCATAAACCTCCGTAGTCGATATGATTCTCTGATCTATATTTTACATGCTTCATACAAGTTGAAGCTATAGAAGCAAGTCGAATATTCTATAGGTGGATGCAATGAGACACTTACAGAAGCATGTGTTGTTTATGCACACATTGCTTTGACAATCGATTGAGCGGTTGCACCCATTACCGTCGGCACATTTGAGTGATCTTGGAACACATTTATTTTTGCAGTCGATACCGATTTCATCTTTGTTTTGTATATTGTCGTAGCATGTCCCGGCTAGAAGTTAGAAATATCAAATCAATGACACCATATATATGGGAGGGTAAGTAACGAAATATTTCAGTACGAGTTTATGCTTATTAAAATTCCGGTGTAATAAATGCTCATGTCGAATTCTTGGTGACATCTTGATTTCGTCAAGTCAATCTTTCATTGAATGATAATGTTGCCGTATTGAAGGGTGAAAAGTGTTCGATATGAGAGTCAGTTCTTAGAAAATTTGTATTAGTCACATATATTCTATCGTTCAGTCTGAATTGATAGTTTTTTATGTCAGTCAAAACTATCGATTATGGAATTTGATGATGTTCTTCAACGCTTGAACAAAGAAGTGGTGGTAGGAATTTTGTTGTTTCCCTCAATCTGAGTTCGTTGTTCATACTTTCTATGCTGATTACGGTCGAATTTCAAATTACAAAAATAGTTTTTACATGTCGAAAGAAAGTGAGAAATCAGATAATACT